GCATTGTTAATAACGAATCACAACAAGTTATACTTGAAGGCAAGAGGCTCGAAAATACATATAAAGTAGATCTTGATTCATTGCCTAATATTAGTATGACTTGTTTGAGCGTTATTGATAACGATCCTTTGCTATGGCATAAAAGGCTTGGACACGCTAGTTTTTCATTAATAAATAAACTTAAAAATAATGATTTAGTTATTGGACTGCCCAATATGAAATTTTCACTTGACCATGTTTGCTCGGCTTGTGCCACCGGAAAACAATCTCGATCATCCTTTAAAACAAAGAATTTGGTGAGCACAAGCAAGCCCATAGAACTAATACACATGGATTTGTGTGGTCCAATGTCAGTCCGTAGCCGAGGAAACAAAGAATATGTTCTGGTTATTGTTGATGACTTTTCAAGATTTACATGGACTATCTTTCTTGCTAGCAAGAAAGATACTTTTAATGAGTTTGCTATTTTTGTAAGGAAAATTGAGCATCAAACAAGTCTACGACTAATCAAGATCCGATCGGATCATGGAACTGAGTTTGACAATTCTCTCTTCGATGCCTTCTGCAAAGAACGAGGGATAGACCACAACTTTTCCGCACCTAGAACTCCACAATAGAACGGAGTGGTAGAACGGAAGAATAGAACTCTGGAGGACATGACTAGAACTATGCTTATTTCCAGCGGTCTTGCTAGGAGTTTTTGGGCAGAGGCTCTAAACACAGCATGCTACATCATTAATCGAGCCATGATACGTCCACTCCTAGGGAAAACACCCTACGAACTGCTCAAGGGGAGGAAGCCCAACATAAGTCATCTAAGAACTTTTGGGTGCAAATGTTTCGTCCACAACAATGGGAAAGACAACATCGGCAAGTTTGATGCTAGAAGTGACGAGGCAATCTTTCTAGGATATTCCCCACATAGCAAGGCCTACAAAGTTCTAAACAAACGCACACAATGTGTGGAGGAAAGCATTCATGTAATCTTTGATGAAGCACTTGCCCCAAAATCAATCCAAGCCGATGATGGTGAGCTAGGGATCACTCGCAAGAAATCACAATCTCAAGGAGATGAAGAAACTGACAATCAAACTGGTGAACCACCTCTAACAAATGAAAATGAACAATCTGGAACTGAAGAAGAACCTGGACAGAACACTGACACTGGACCTGTAGAACCGGTAGAACCAGTTCCAGATACTCCCAACAACTTGGTGGACCAACCCAACGCTCCTAGGGGTTGGAAGCTTCATAGATCACATCCGCTGGATAATCTCCTCACCGATCTAAATCAGGGAGTAACAACTAGATCTAAACTTAAAAACTTTTGTGCTTTCTCTGCTTATTTATCTCTTATAGAACCGGAGAACCATGAAGTGGCTCTCTCCGACACTGACTGGGTTCTAGCCATGCAGGAAGAACTAAATCAGTTTGAAAGAAATAAGGTGTGGCATCTAGAACCGAGACCCAAGAACAAGACCGTGATAGGTCTCAAGTGGGTATTCAAGAACAAGCTTGATGAACATGGCCAAATTACAAGAAACAAAGCTAGGCTGGTTGTCAAAGGCTATAACCAACAAGAAGGAATAGATTTCAACGAAACATTTGCACCGGTGGCAAGACTAGAAGCAATCCGAATGCTCATAGCATTTGCGGCTCATATGGGTTTCACCCTCCACCAAATGGATGTCAAGACGGCCTTCTTGAATGGATATCTAAAGGAAGAGGTATATGTAGAACAACCACCGGGCTTTGAAAATCAAGATTTTCCTAATCATGTTTTCAAATTAGATAAAGCACTTTATGGCCTCAAACAAGCACCTCGTGCTTGGTATGAACGCCTATCTAAATTTCTTTTGGAAAATGGTTTTGAAAGAGGAAAAATAGATAAAACTCTTTTTCTAAAAATAAAAGATCAAGCCCTATTGGTTGTTCAAGTTTATGTTGATGATATTATTTTTGGTGCTACTAACGATTCTCTTTGTGATGAATTCTCTAATCTTATGAGTTCCGAATTTGAGATGAGTATGATGGGGGAACTTAATTTCTTCCTTGGCCTACAAATCAAGCAATCAAGCAAAGGAACTCAAATATCTCAACAAAAGTACCTCAAGGAACTCCTAAAGAAGTACGGAATGAGTAAAGGCAAAACTATGACTACACCTATGGGAACAAATGATAGGCTGGATGCGGATGAACAAGGAAAGAGCATAGACCAAAAGATGTATCGAGGAATGATTGGGTCCCTACTATACCTCACTGCCAGTAGACCTGACATTGTTTTCAGCGTAGGTCTATGTGCTCGGTTCCAGGCCAATCCCAAAGAATCTCACCTCAAGGATGTGAAAAGGATCCTCAAATATCTCAAAGGAACTACTAATCTATGTTTATGGTATCCTCGTAATGATGATTTTAACCTTATTGCATATTCAGACTCTGATTTTGCAGGTGATTTGCTAAATAGAAAGAGTACGTCTGGAACGGCTCACTTCCTAGGTCCCTGTCTAGTTTCTTGGAGCTCAAAGAAACAAAATTCAGTTGCTCTTTCAACAGCCGAAGCTGAGTATGTAGCAGCCGCATCTTGTTGCTCTCAATCATTGTGGATCATGCAACAAGTAAGCGATTATGGGGTTGATTTAAAATGCACACCCATCCTATGCGATAATACAAGTGCAATTAGCATATCAAAGGACCCGGTCATGCATTCTCGGACAAAACATATTCATATACGACATCACTTTCTGAGAGATTGCGTGGAAAAGGGGATAATCAGGCTGGAATATTGCAACACCGAGAAACAAATAGCTGATATCTTTACCAAGCCTCTGGGAAGAGAAAGGTTTGAACTAATTAGACTGGAACTCGGTCTAATTTACCAAGCCTAAATTATTTGTTCTACTTCTTATTTCCTAAATAATGGGAATCACTGGAACTAATCACTTTTACTAGTTGCGAAGAAAGCTTGCAGGACCTTCCGGCCTCATCTAAGGGGGAACAAATCGATATTTTAATTTCGGAATTAATTTAGTTCCTTTTGGTTGATGCCAAAAGGGGGAAAAAAAATCAGGTGCCTTTATTTTGCTACTATGTGACTTGATTATGCTGCATATGCTACTATGATTTATTTTGCAGGAAAGGCACCTATGGTTTGTCATCAACAAAAAGGGGGAATTTGTTGAACATGTTGTTTTGTTGATGACTAACCATGCAGGAACAACAGATAGACCTGGTCTTTAAATATATGTGGCTAACCATGCAGAGACCAGGACTAGAACTTCTCCTGGTTCTATTCGAAGCTTTATTTGAATGATTATGTTATGCAACGTTATTCATGGCCTGCATGATGTTATCTTTTGGGATTTTTGTAGTATCCGTAGCATGATTTGATATCACTAATGGAAAGATTTTTCAAATGATTAATCCACTCCAAAGAAGGAAGGAAATTATTATTAAAGCTTCCATTTACAAAAAGTTGACTAAAAGCTTCCTTTGGTAAATTAGTTCCGTATTTGGTGATAATCTTCTAATGACCGTTGCTTTTCTTCCTTATATGATAATTCGTAAATAATGAGCAAATCCACTCTTGATTGAGACCAAGTTGGAAAGATCCATTGGAAGGAAAGAAATTCAAGAATTATCAAGGGAAGTGCATTAAATAATCAAGCAACCTACTAAGGAAAGAGGAGCCAACGGTTGTCTCAAAAGGAGCTATATATTCCGAACCAAAGGTGATTCGAAGTTAGTGCTGAACCGAGAAAAATACTTAGAAGAATCATTCAAGAAAAGGATCAAGTCCTTGGCGCCTGAAACTGCCCGCTCGGAGTTCTAGATAGAGTTTTTCTTTTCCCTTTCATATTGTACTTGGAATATTGAGGCTTAATTGGCTAGAGTAGCTGCCTCGGGTTAAGTGTGTGTGAGAGCTTTGTGATAAAGCTGAGAGGCTCTCTACCCGCAAGGTAGAGATGCATAACTCTTCCTAGAGAGGATAGAGTTGGGGAGGCTCAAGGGTAGATTAGGAGAATCACTCTTGTAACTCTTTCAAAGGCTTGTTTAGTGAAGTTGTTTAAAATTCCTCCGAGGGAGGTCGAGGTTTTTTAATCCCTTTGAGCCAAGGGATTTTTCCTCGTTAAATTCTTGTGCACTTTACTATTTCGCAATTCCCTTTATCCCACACTAGAACTCGGCGAAAAAACTGCCACGGTTCCACACACACACAATTCACCCCCCCTCTTGTGTTGCTAACCGTTTTCATCATAATGAGTAAAACTAAAAACTCCGGTCAACAACCCTCCGTGGGATAAAGCCCGTCGGGTCCCCGCCTTTGGTAAAGCCACATGAGCCTCGACATCTCTTCCTCCAAGTCGAGCTCCTACTATATACGAAGTATAGTTTATTTTAGTCAATAAATTTGTGGTTTTTATTATTTATCTTTTTTTGTATAAATCCCAACTACTACGTATATAGTTTTACTTTATTATTTTGAGAGAATTTCCTATATGGGAGTAAAAAGGTTTTGAAATTCCAAAATTGGACTATCATATTTTTTTTATTCCCTAAATTCGAGTAAGTTTCTTTCTAGTTTGGCATTACTAGGCTTTAAACATGTCATTTTTCAAACTTGACAAAAATTACTCCTATTCACGAAATAAAAACATGAAAGTTCAATTTTAGAATTTCAAAACGTTTCCATTCAATTACTCCTATTTAAGAAAGTTTCCATATTATTTTCTGTCCTCATCAAACTTTTTACTCCAACATTCTAAAATCGTTTGGGACTAAGGCTTGCATGTTATTGTTGTTGTATACTGGACACGCCAATTTTAAAGAGTTTTAAAAAATTAAAATTTTTGGAAGTCAAGTACATTGTGGCCTGATGACATTACTGTGAAACTTCCAAAGAGGTGGCTGCAGGTTCAAATCTTTTTCAATTAAAAGATATTGACCTTAAGAGAACAGATACTATAATATGTTACGGAGTAGAAAGTTTTGCCTAATGACAAAAAAAATTGTAAAAGGTCACCTAAAATTGCTTGTGTGGACTTCGGTGCGCATTCTGGGCGACAGGGCTCAAGCCGCTCCAGTTACAGTGTCTCATTTTTAGCTTTCCTTGGCATATCATCTTGGAATCAAAGTGACGCGGTATATTTCGGTACACATTCTAAAACTATATTATCAATGTTCCGTTTTCCATAACTTCAACTTTTAAGAATTCAATAGCTATGGAATTATGTTGCTTTATCCAATTAGCTGCTTTTTCTCTGCTGCTTTCATTCATGTCAGAATAGAGGATTTTAGCGTAAGATTGAGTACTTCGCCAATTAGGGTTAGAGTATCTTATTTGATAAATTGGATTGGAAATCATAACGCCTTTTTAGCAAACTTTAATGACCTCCATGAATGGCGCCACAACGCTTTATGGATCTGTGATCCATAATTCCATATCACTTGTCTTTAATAAGTATCTAACTGGGTTATTTAGGGCAGCCTCCCCATTTTGGTTTTCCCTTAATTGTGAAGTGGAGTAATATTTCCAATTTTCCATTGTCGGGTTTTATTAATAAAAGTGCTACCTTTGTCCGATTAATGTTAAACTGATGGTTAACATTATTTTTTGCGGCAGGCATAGTGGTCGCTCTAAACAGTTGCTTCATCTATATTTGTCCTTGTCTTAGAAGATTCTTAGCAATTTTTTCAATTCCTTTACACAAGCTCCTATCTTAGAAATCTGTTGATTAGTTAAACAAGAAAACTTGTTGGACTCCTTATGAACCAAGTGAAAAAGATACACGCCCACACCCTAAGAAATGGTCTAGATTTTACTCAATTCTTGATGACTAAACTACTTGAAATCCCAAACATCCCATACGCCCACAAACTGTTTGATAATACTCCTAACCCAGCAGTCTTCCTATACAACAAGCTCATTCAGGCATACTCTTCTGATGGGCCTCACTCCCAGTGTTTCTCTCTGTACATCCAAATGTGCCGTCAGGGATGCTTCCCAAATGCACACACTTTCACCTTCCTTTTTGTTTCTTGCTCCAGCCTTTCGAATCTTAGGTTGGGCCAAGTTCTCCATTCTGATCTCATCAAGCATGGCTTTCTACTTGATATATTTGCCTTAACTGCATTGGTTGACATGTATGCTAAGACGGGCTCGATTGCTTCGGCCCGAAGGCAATTCGAGGAGATGAAAATAAGGGATTTACCCACATGGAACTCTTTGATTTCTGGTTATGTCAAGAATGGGAATATGGATGAAGCATTGCATTTATTTTCAACAATGCCTTCAAGGAATGTGATATCTTGGACTACAATGATATCAGGTTTCACACAAAACGGTCAGTATGGGGATGCTCTTGCCATTTTTAGAGAAATGGAAAAGGAGACTGAAGTGAGGGCAAATCAAGTGACCATAGCTAGTATTCTTCCGGCGTGTGCAAATCTTGGGGCTCTAGAGTTTGGAAAGAGAATCGAGGCTTATGCAAGGGAAAATGGATTCTTCCAGAATATGTTTGTTCGTAACGCTGTATTGGAATTGTACGTTAAATGTGGCAGACTTGACACAGCAATGGAAGTTTTTGTTGCCATGGGCAAGAGGAGGAACTTATGCTCTTGGAATACTATGATCATGGGCTTAGCCATTCATGGCAAAGGCACTGAAGCAATCGGACTCTTCAACAAAATGTTGGTTAGTGCTCTTTAAATATGTTTTGGAACATTGATTGTTTTCTTTCATTACACACACCAGAAAGTATTTTTCCACAAAATCTTATCTATGCATGGTGCCAGCGGAAACTATTTTCCGACAAAATCTTATCTGTGCTTGGCACAGGCAACCATTTCCGGTTTTCACAATGGGGAGGGGAGTGTTTATTAAATGGCCTATCAGCCGTTTTTTACTTTTTCACTTGAGTTTAGCTATTTGATGTTGTCAAACAACCAATTTAGTGGTTGGTAATTTAATGATCACTAAAGTTACTATTATAATAACTTAAGTATAAAAAGTCTATTTTCGTTCACTACCTACATCTTAGTCAGATGTTCGTCCTCATTTCTTGTTATATTATTAGAAATATTTAAAAAACATAGATAAAGAAAAATAAAGAGAACTCGTGCACTATCTTATAATATTAGAAAAATAAATAAATAAATAAATAAATAAATAAATAAATAAATAAATAAATAAATAAATGTAGATCCCCTGTATTATATTAGGTTTTACTTTCTCCTGTTTTTTACACTTTTTATACTCTAACCACTACTAAAATTTTCTTTTTAATCTCCTTGGAAAACCTATAGGGACAAGTAATGTAATACGGAGGGAGTATAATTAAAATAATGAAATTAATAGTACTTTTAAAAATAATGATGAAATACTAACCTTCCAGAACCTTTTTTAAAATTTATCTAAAAATGCAAAACCAAAATAGTTAAGTATATGAGCTGCAAATGATATTTCTTACTAATAAAAACAGCAATCAGCCGCTACAAGCTAACAGCAATGAAAAAACTTTTGTACACACCTTTTGTATTTTGCTAAATATTTTAAGTAATCATTATTCCATCGGTACACATGTCTTTGAACAGGCTATTTTTTTGTATGTGAACAGGCTATTCACATTGACAAAACATATTCACAGACGTGTGTACTCATGTGTACAAAAAAGTGTACAACCAACAGGGCTGAACAGCAATTGCAGCCTCTTCAAGGTATCCGTTGTTTGGTACCTTGAAGTATTTTCCAAACTTTTATACCAAAATGCTCCCCTGCTTCAGAATGACAATTCATTTTCTCAAACAGATTTCTATTTTCAATTTGTTTGCATCAAACATTGAGTATATATATATTAGAGGATATACTCGTATTGAACAGCTTGTTTCCCCTGAAAGCATTTTCCTCCAGAAATATTCTCTGGAGTATCATTTTGCTTGAAAATAAACAAGTGGTGCCGTAGTGTAAATATTTCTTTGGTTGGAACTCAGGGAGAAAGGATTTCACCAGATGATGTTACATTCGTTGGAGCAATCATGGCATGCACACATGGAGGAGGCATGGTAGCAAGAGGATGGGAGCTCTTCATGTCCATGGAAAAAAAGTACTCCATTGCTCCCAAACTGGAGCATTACGGATGCATGGTTGACCTTTTAGGACGTGCAGGCAATTTGGAAGAAGCATATGATCTTATTCGAAACATGCCAATGAGACCCGATTCTGTTGTTTGGGGGACTCTATTGGGAGGGTGCAGTTTCCACTGCAACGTTGAACTTGCGGAGAAAGCAGCACACATCCTATCTGAATTGGAACCATGGAATCCGGGAAACTATGTCATTCTTTCAAATATATATGCAAGGGCAGGGAGGTGGGATGGGGTTATGCGTCTAAGGAAGGAGATGAAGGGATCCCAAATAAGAAAGGGAGCAGGTTACAGCTTCATCATTGAAGGAGGAGGCCAAATGCATAAGTTTATTGTTGAGGACAAGTCACACCCAAGAACTAATGAGATATATGCACTTCTCAATGACATCGTAGACAAGTGTAAACTCTGTGTTAATGGCATCTATATTGATTCTGATTTTGCTGGGTAGGAGCCCTGATTCTGATTTTGCTGGGTAGGAGCCCTCACCCTCGACAGAAGTAATTTTGACCAAAGTTGTAAAAGTAGAAATTTTAGAATGAACTTTAAATCTTAAGATTTTTATTATGTTAATAATTACCAAGAACTAGAGTATGAAACAAACCTACGGAGTATAAATTTGCAATTGACACTACTCGTCACTTAAAAATTAGAAATATCGTGTCATGAACTAGATTTACATGTACCTTTTAGTGTTAACAATTAAAAAAAATAAACAATAAATCTAAAATAAAAAAATTGCCCAATATAAGAGTAAAGCTTAAAACTTCCTAGTTCTAAAATATGACTTATTTGATCCTATTAAAAAAAAAACTAAGTTCATTCATTCATTGGAAACGATACATTTATGCAGGTCTTTTAATTTTAAAAATAATCTAAGTTCATCCCCACAATATTAAAATATTAAAAATTAAAAAAATTATTTTTATAAAAATAAAAACTTTAAAAATAAATAAATAATAGATAAACTGCATTAAAAATACTACGGGTATAAAAAACATTATGCAGGCCTTTCCTGCAACCTCAGTCATCACCCAGCAATGTCACCTCCGATAGAGAAAAAATGTCATTTTATGTAAAAACTGTCATTTTTCTTTGAAAATGTCATAAAGATGACAGTTTTACTCTTTGAAAATGCCAAATTTTCTCAAAATCTGCCATCATGATGGCATTTTGGGAAAATATTGGCATTTTTTTCGGTGGTCGGAGCTGGTGGTGTTGGGATGTTGTTAAGTCGGCGGCAGACGCCTACATATTTTTATATATTTTTTTCATTTTTATTTTATTTTAATTTTTTAGTTTTTTTAATAATTTTTTATTTTATTTAATACGGAGTATATTTTATTTGATATATTTTTGTGTGTTTTTTACAATCTTATTATAAATTAATTAATCTTATTTCTTTTAATTATTCATGAAAATTGTTGGGACTTGGGTAGGGGTATACTTGTCCAAACACTAAAGTTACTCCTATTCAAAACATGGTATCCTTATTTTTGCATTTTGTCTATGTTTTACTCCTATTTGGGGAATTCTCTCAAATAACAATTAATATACTTGAAAACAAGTACGGAGTATGACATATAAATATTTTTTTTCTGAAAGCCATATAAAAATATAATTATTGGTCATTTGTATGAAAACGTTTATTTTGTTCCTATTGGAATTATATACCATGTCCATCATATAATGATTTCCCGAACATTTGCATTGAAAAATTCATTTCTATAAACTTTCCATGATTTCATATGCTATAAATCTATAATGCTCTTCTAAAATGATGTTTTTGCTTCTATTGAGATTTTTACACATGAATTGTGAATTGGGATGTAACCAGTGACTCAAATCGATCCATCAAAGTAAAATCATACTACCATTTGCCTAATTGCCTTTGTTAAAGACACATACTCCGTATTAATTTTGATTTTACATTTTAAATAGTGATTTTAACAATTTTGATTTTATCATTTGCCTTTGCTGAAGACACATAAAGTAATTTAAAAAATAAAAATGATTGAAATGAAAGAAATGAGCAAGTCTATTAATGTCCTCTGGCTCTATTAACGGAGTATTAGCCATCCAGTCTTGGTGAGGAAGTGTTAGGTCGTATATGGAAAATCCCACCAATATTACAGGTTCATTACGTAAAACTCCAAAGACAAATGAATGCCTTGATATATTTGGTATGTAGTATTATACTTTCTTTGTAACCCGAAGACAAGAGAATAATAACTCGCAATTATGGGATCAAAGCTTGTCTGGAGCCTGGAGAAGTAGCTCTCAGCAAGATGTAGAGAGAAAGAACAACTCACAATTACACCCGCGACCACCTAAATTCCCAATATACCCCCACCCCACCCCCAGCTTACAACCTTTTCCCAATCCCTGCAAGTTTTCGAGCAACTCCGAATATAAGAGCTTTGGTGAGGAGTCCACGGTCGATGCTGCAGGCAAGGGCCAGCGCTCCACCAACAATGACAAGCTTAGGCACATTCCTTCCCGGAGTTGGTTTATTATCCTCTGAAGAATCACCACAAGCTTCTATGTCACTAACACTCTGCCTTCTCCCCAGTGACTCCAAATCATCAGAAGTCACTTTGGTGTTAAGTTGGGCCATGAAAGCGCATCTTGACAATGGGACTTCCTCAGATGATGCTCTATACTTCAGATATGCACGTAAACCAGAGTCAATCTTCTTGACTGCTCCCCACATTCCCTGCCGAACACCAAGTTTGGCAATTTCCCATGGTATACCCATGTCCTCATGATGGAAGAGTATCACCTCACATGCACTCATCTCACCATCTCTCGTAGATTCAGCTGTTCCATTGAAAAAATTACTAAGCTCAGTTTATGAATGTAAACGAATAGCTAATAGGTCATTTGAACAAATCAATTAAACAAAAAGAAGCAAGTTCAATGGGCAATCAGATGTTCAGATGCCCAACTGGAAACTTTTAATAATCAGTACCAAAACAGGAATCCCAGTGTCACGGGACGACTTCTTTACCCTACTCAAGCATGTTCCAGAAACAGCTAGAAACTTCCCGTGACAGCAAGTCCAGAAATGAAAAATCATTATAGTCGAAGGACCAAAATCGAAGATTTATCTTGTCAAGTAGTCAACACAAGCACATTCTTGCATATCTTATATTATTATTACCTGGTCGAATACACCAGCTTGAATAATACAAATCAACACGCCTTGGTTTGTTTTTTCGTGGAACGGATGAATTCCTCACACCCTGCAAAATGTTGCAAGGATCAGTCATCTCTAAACAATCAACTTTTAAGGATTTGTTTGGTTTGTGGATTTCATAAGTATAGGAAGGAGAGGGGTTATATTTATTTATTTTAAAAGTATTTCTATTTGAAGGTAAAACCTATATACAAATTCAAGGTCTAACTAGTTATATGATGATTTTTGGTCTAAAACTAACAAACATAGCACATACTCCGTATTACGTAGTAGTTATTAGCAAAATAAGAGTCAGAGTCTTCCTCCCCTTTTCTTTGAAATCCTTGAACCAAACAGGCCCTAAGAAAAAACTACTTGAGGATTGTCATGATCATAGACCTTTCTGTGATCAATAATCAAAGAGTTGGAATAAAAACTTAAGCAATTATACTTTTTAGCAGTGTTTTAAAAAGAACTATGCTAGCAGCAAGCAGGAAATGTTGCAAAGTTTAAAATTCTTTTACACCTTAAACTTCTTTTGCTCACCTTAGTAACACAGTAATATGTATTTCCAGATTTCCATATTCGACGGCCAATAATGTATTCTCTATCACTGCAGAAGAATGGAAACTGCAGCAAAACAAAGAAAAAACAAAAGTAGTTAAGAATATTAGCCAATTAATGAGTAGATAGATTCAAAGGGGAACAAAATATACTCCGTAAAATGGAAGAAGTAGCTCATACCTTGCGTACCCAGTGGACCACCATGGTTCCAGTGTTGGGATAATCTTCCAGCGTTTCAGCGTGTAAAAGCATGTCATCCCACTTCGTTCGGAACTCATCATCCCAAAAGAAATCTCTCACCACTTCGGGGCTAGCATCTTCATATACAGTTCTGCTTCGATATTGCGGGGGTCCATTCTAAACCCGCATCAAACTTAGTTATTACATGTAAGATGAGTAGATCCTCAACCTTAAATCAAGATTAGTATGAAGTCTTATATTTTTTAGTTTATATTTTTATACTTGGGTAGCAGCAAATCATATCAAGTGTCCGTTTGGTAAGCCTTTTTTTTTAATTATCAGTCTTATGATGTTTTGCAGAAGCATCACTTTTTAGTTTCAAGTGCTGAATTGGTTAACAATGGGGGAAAAGGTTGAATGTACATTTTGGGTTGAATTTCTTATTCATTTTATCAACAAAATATATTTTAGTATCTTTTTTCACAAGTGAAGATTCTGCCAATTTCAGCTGATTTAATAAAGCCTAGTCTTACCAAACAGGATCTAAGACTTATAAGATTAACTCGATAGAAGAAGTGGCAAAACTGTCACATGTAAGTTTGTATCTTTGTATTTAACCAGTATAGTTGGAGTAAATAGATACTTTTATGTTGCATTGATTTGGGATGTTGAAGACATACTATCATCATTTAAGCTCAGCTTGTAGCTTCAAAGGATTTATGCAGTTTCCTATTTATATCTTAGCTCACAAGATCCATAAGAAGGGGGTAGTACCTCAGGATCTCTTCGCCATGCCTGATAACACATGTTCTTCGCAGTCCTGTCCATCATCTGAATCCAGGCAGGGCCACCATCTTTCTCTTCAACTAATTGATACAAGTGATGAAGGTCACTCTCATCTACAGCTTCAGAATTTCCACTTTCCCAAAGCAAAGATGAACTGAAAACATCCCAATACAATTCCCACTGTCAGTCAGAAAGAATTCAAAATTGGAAATTTGTTTTATTTTATTATCGATTATGTTTAACTCTATTCTAATAACATTCAAGTTAGTATTAATATTGGTACAAATGATGAAGTTCTCTCATCTAAACTTCAGAACTTCCTCTTTCCAGATGCAACTATGAACTGAAAAAAATTCCAATGCAATTTTCACTGTCAGTCAGAACTCAGAAATAATTCAAAATATGAAATTTGTTTAATTTTATTATCGATTAGGTTTAACTCTATTCTAATAACATTCAAGTCAGTATTAATATTGGTACAGATGATGAAGGTCACTCATCTACAACTTCAGAACTTCCACTTTCTGGAAGCAACTATGAAGCTCAAAAAATCCCAAGTCAGTTTCCACTGTCAGCAAGAATTCAAAATATGAAATTTGTTTCATTTTATTATATATTAGGTTAACTCACTTCTTACAACAATCATATCAGTATTAATAATTAAAACATACAAGTACATACTTAGAAAAAGACAAAAAAATCTACTAAACAACAATAACAGAAACTGAACGTGATAAAAAATTGATACATCAAATCAAATAATAATAGAGAATAGTCTAACAAATAAACAGTAAAATGACAAACCTAACTTCTATTTTGGATTGGAGTATAAAATTCAACCAACCTGGAGTTAGGGGTGAGTTGTGAGATCTCCTCAGATATGAATCTGGAGCTAAAACCAGTGAAGAGCTGCTGCAGGCAAGAAGAAGAGGACACCATGGAGACAAAGGAATCTGTACTGGAACAAAGATCAGCCCATCTGGGCCTCCAGGCCCAACCAACAAGAACTCCAACAACCACAGCCACCCAGATAGGCGTCGTCCACATCATCAGCTCAAGTATACCATCCCCGATCGATTTCTTTTGGAAAATTTCAACCAACGCCGATACTAAAGCCATTAACCCCAGACAAGAAATTGAAACCAATAAATTAATACCCACACCCGGCTATCTAATCCAACGGATAAAGATAGAATCTTTAAGTGAGGTGATGACTATAATAACTCTATAAGGGTTCAAAAATAGAAAGAAGAAAGAGATAAGAGATTTACAGTAAACTAA